ATACCACAGCATAATTTTGTTTATGTTGGGATCGGCGACGGTTTTTTTTTTTTTTTTTTTTTTGCCGAAAAATTTGAAACTTGACCCCATCCCCGAAAATATTTTGGAAAAAAATCCATTAAGAAATTTTTAGGGGAGCCTGAATCTCACTGAGTTATCTGTATTATATATATTATAAGACTCAATTATTCATTCTGTAGTTCATCACTTGGTCTGATGTTCTTCACATAGCGTGGCATCTAAGACTGTCAAAATCCGCTTATTTATGGAGAAGTGCGCAGTGCAAAACTTATTATTAATTAAGATTTGTTCCGCGCTCTTTTAAATTAAAAACCTAATTTTGACATTTTTAATGGCAGACCATCCAACTTGATTACTTTTTCTGATTAATCTCAAGTAATAACACGTGGACGCCATTTCATCACACAACACGCCTCGGATGGTTTCAGCTTCGGATGGTTTCAGCGTTCACCAACTCGAGAAGCTGCACCTTTATTGACATGTCGACCAATCTTTTTAATCTCCCCTTATAGTTATGCGGTTTATCCATCGGGCTCGCATCTTTTTAATGAGTATACGGCCTTCTCTATAGAAATTCTTGATCGCTCCACTGTTTGCTTAAATGCGGTGATTTCTCTCGACGATGCGTTCACCAACTCGAGAAGCTGCACCTTTATTGACATGTCGACCAATCTTTTTAATCTCCCCTTATAGTTATGCGGTTTATCCATCGGGCTCGCATCTTTTTAATGAGTATACGGCCTTCTCTATAGAAATTCTTGATCGCTCCACTGTTTGCTTAAATGCGGTGATTTCTCTCGACGATGCTATTTCCCGATATACAATATGTTGCTCGAGGCCTCAAACGTTTGGGAAAGTTGTATAACGGCGAACTCGGGGTAACTCCAAATATGGTCAAAATGGCATATGAGACAAACATATTTGAGAATTTCTTTTAAACTGCAGAGTGAGAGGTCCCATGTTCAGTTCTAGACGTGCAGAAGTGTAATAAAGCTGCGATTGTTGTTCACGATAAATTGATCCTTTTGAACTTTTTCTGATTATTTCATGCAACTTTTTTTTTGAGAAACATTCCTGTTGTAGCTACTATGGATATAAAACTACTCATTTTGTTGTTGTTGTTGATTTGTATTATAATGAAAGTATTTTTAAAACGTATTAAATTTGAGGTATGTTAATATAACCTCAATAGATTAATTGTATTTCAATTGTTTATGTCCATGGGGTAAAAACGAACAATCTTAGTGGGGTAATTTCAAACGTCTAAAGTGTCAACACATTGACCTCAGGCGGCCAGAACATTATTATTTCTAAATTTTTTCACATTAAGTTTTAATAGATTTAAATATATGTTATTCAAATATTATCTGTATACCTAATTTGCCAAAAAAAAAAAAAAAATGGAAAAAATAAGCATGTTTAAGAAAGAAAAACTCCACCATTATTACTAGTTTGCCAGTGAGAAATATTTTAGAGCAAAAGAAATATAGGAATAAACAAGAAGTTTAAAATATTGCTGGTGAAAGTAAAAAGAGAAAGAAGAACTTTAATCAATTAGAGATAATTGACTATTATGTAAAGAAAAAAAAGAGTTCCCAAGGTGATACAAAAATTTTTGTTTAATTTGCAAAGAAAAAATATTAGGAGCCGTCCACATAATGATGGATGTATCATAAATACAAGTCCTTTTTGCACGAGAAGTACAATTAGTGAATTCATTTGATAATTAAAAAATAAAAGATTAGTTTCAAAAGATTGTTGTTGTATTGAGTAATGAAAAAGTCATAATCTTCCCATAGAAGACTGGATTATGTGTTACAATTGTAAAGCTTGGCAAGGAAGAGCATATCCCAAAATTTTTGTGATTTTTGCACCTGATTATTACAACTAGCATTTTCTTTGTTATTACACAACAGTTTTTGTGAATAGCTTACGGCGTGTGTATAATTACCCCACGAATATGAAATTGACCTGAGCTGGTAATCGAGCCATAACTCTAATGATTGCGCCGCCGCTTTATTTTGGTGACGCACTTTTTATCATTAAACCTCGTTATATTTATATTAAATTATATTAAATATAAAAATGATTTAAAAATATAATAAACATATAGTATAAAATCTGACAATAGTTTTTCTTTGCAGTTATTCATTTTTCAAATTTAAAACTTGATTTATAAAAAATTAATAACTTAGCAGAATAAATAACATAATAAAACGTTAAATATTTTTAATTGGTGATAAATTGATGAGGGCAAGGTGAAAAAAATTTGATTTCCTTTCTAAAATGTTAATTTTTACCAATAAATTACTCAGCATCATTGCTTTCACTCTGTGTGTGTATTTTAAATTCAATTTTGCTTATGTTTATTTTCACAATTTTTTTTTTTCTTTTTTCAAGAAAAAGTATATTTTCAACAAATTTATTTTCAGAAAGTTTATTTGATTGTTTTCCAGGTGTTCTGAAAGCACACTAAATTTTTTCAACAGTTAGCAATGTGTTCAGTTTATCCTCATCATTATTTTATCGATGAACAAATTGCTTTTTCTGAATAATAATTTATTATGATTAAAGACTTTGCATAGTTCTAAAAGCTTTTAAAAAGTGAGTTAAAGAAATACTCAAGGGGAAGTGAAAAAAATTGTATCAAAAAGTGAAAATTCTATCAAACCTAAGATATGAAAGTTCATCGACAAACTGAGCAAAGGAAAAATAATATTGGGTAATTTTTTATTTTATCTTTTATATCTATTCCTGTTTATTTTCACTATTGTACCAAACTAAAATCGGTATTTTATAAGCTAGTATTATTTTTGCAATATTAGCTTTTTCCTTAAATGATAAATAGGTATCTAATAGAGGAATTAATATTGAATCTCAATACTAACTATGTTTGTATAGAGAGTTTAAAACTGTATTGATAGCATCTGGTGTGGCGGAAAGTTTTTGTTACTTAATCATCTGGTGAATAGCTTTTGTATCAAGATAAGGAGCTCTAAAAACCTCATTAGCCTGTAAATGCCATTTGCTATAAAACAAACTGTAAACTTACTTATCAGTCTAATTTCTGTCTTGGGTTTATTGTTCTAATTTAGAAACTTAGTTGGTTGGAAAAAAGCTATAGCTTTTGTTAGTACAGTTCTTTGGATAAGAACCATGAAGAACCCCGCATGATGAACTGCTTAATTTTATTGAAGATAGAAAAAGGTAACTCACAATAAGTTCTGTATACTCCTTTCTATTTAATCTGACATTATATTTCCTTTCATTTTTCTTTGTAATGTATACTTAAAAAAAGTTCAAAGATTATAGTGCAGCTTTCTTAAAAAAATATTCCCCTATTGTTTTCCAATCAAAATTTATCAGTTCTACTTGATTTTAATTAAAATTTTCAAAACAGTGCTTATCTAAAATTAAATTACAAAAATGAATCATTCTTAATTCACATTGATAATGCCTGAATGAAATAAGTAAAAAATATTTGCCCATTTTGTACATTGTTGAACAAAGAACTTTTATTTAATCCAGTGTATTTGTTATAGAATTAAAACATTTCTCCTACTTTGCAAGGTAGTACTTTTTTTCAGGTCCATTAAACTATTACACTTGTCTTCGCCAGAGGGGATTGGTAAAAAACTACTTTAAAAAGGTGGGGATTCATTAATTGCTTGTAAAGCAGTTTCTTTCGCTACCATACATTTATTATGATTGGAATATTTCTATTATTATTATTTTTTTTTTACTATCTGCTGTAAACTAGCTAAATTTGTTATCTATCAGATTGGCTCCTGATTGACAAGCAACTTTAACTTTGTGCAAAAAAACTTGGAGTATACTGATTGTAGCCGTAAAAGCAACGTTACCAGCAAAAATATCTATAGCAATTTCAGCTGTAATTTTTTTTTGAAAAGGTTCATTTTAAACCAATTACCAGGATTAAAATTAGATTTTTTATGTCGTTGTTGCACTTGCAGCTATTTGTCTTTGATGCTCTCTGTTGTCTAAAAATGTTAAAAAATTTATATCTATTAATTTAATTAAAGGAGATATGGGTGTATTGAGTAAGCATTATTATTTTTATTGAGCTATTATTATTAAAAGTCTTTTTTATGTGGCATGCAAATTGAACTTAAGTTTAGAGTTCTTTGAGCTATCCCGGCTCAAAGACAGCAATAATATAAAAATCAACTTGATATTCGAATTAAAATTCGAATATCAAGTATTCGAATACTTAAGTTTGTCTATTTCTAAAGTTTTAAGTATTCATTGCGCAAAATTTGGAAGATTTTTTTACTAGAACTTGATCATTTAGTATAAAAAATCTTGCTTTAATTTATAACTTTTTTACTTTGGCCAACCTGTTCCTCCGCACAGCGCACAGTGGGCCAAAACCATCATTAGCTGGACAAAAGTAATAACTTTTAAAATATTAATCAGATTTCCAGGTTGCCAGGTTGAGCATATTTCATACTAAAAATTCAATGGTATCATTAGATTGTTTTTTTAGTTGCTATAGATACCTATATTCTATAGCAACATCGTACATTGCACAGTTACCTAAATTGAGTGACTTTCTTAAAATGTCAAATTTATAAACTAAACTGATATTAATGCTACAATGCTGTTTTATGTTCTTTAATGATAACACAAACAAAAAATTACTAATATTTGGTGTTAATATGCATTTTTGTGCTCTTAGAAACCAGTAATTTAATTTTTTTATGAAACTTTTGCTTAACACAAAATTTCTTTAAAAAATGAAATAAAAACTTTAAAAACAATCTTAACTCTAAGGGTTTATAGATACAGTTAATAAAATTTGATATAGATTAATAAATTTCGAACTAGTTGTATCTATGTAGTTTAATTGCCCTTAGCAACCAAATCAAAATCAACAAGCGTTCATACAATTAGAGTTATAGCATACTTTATAAAGTATATGTAAGAATACAAGCAAACTTGTATATTTACATAAACGT